GGGGCGTGGCATCTTTGATTGGTGGGGCATCCATTTAGTGATAACAGTTTTGGAGGGTGGGGTCATCTATTCAGTGATAACCGTTGATACATTACTGACCGTAAAGACTTTAGAAATCAATCGATTACAATATTATTAGCCATTGATTCATTTGCCGTACAATACTATCGAAATCACTGCAAATCAAACTGTTTCAGCTGTTCATTTATTTTCTGTTTTTAAAAATCTTTTAAAAAATCTACTTATAATAGTCATATGCTGTTAATTTATTTTCTAAAAGTACTTATAAAAACCAAACCTATAATAGTATAGCTGTTGATTTACTTACTGTTCGCTAATTAGGAGTTTTAAAAATCAATGTAATCAGTATTAGCTGTTTATGTCTCTTTTACAATAAAACACTATTAAAATCAATTCATGATAAAGTATGAACCGTTAATTAATTTACAGTAAGTATGTAAGTTTATTCAGTGTTTAAGGGTATTGGCCAACACCACATTATCATCATCATCATCATCATCATCATCATCATCATCATCATCACCATCACCATCATCATCATCATCATCATCATCATCATCATCATCATCATCATGTGCCAGATCTGCGGCAGACATCGGTGATCATGGTTCTCTATTCATTCTTCTGCTCGGATGCTGTTAATTTTTTTTTAAAGCCACGTTACCCATCTGTTCAGGTTCTCTAAGTAGGTTGCTCTGGGCCTACCCCAGCTTTGTTTGCCTTCACTTTCGTCAGTGAGACCTAGATGTTCAAGACCTTTATGTTTATTCAGCTCAGGTATCCCAAAATCTGCACATCCTATAAAACCAGCATCATCCGGTGCCTTGCCGACTGACGTGGGCGAGCATGGACCTCCACTTCACTCTGCCTTGCGTTACAGCAATGGTGTCTGTCGTTTTTGCTGCTCCTAGCCATGTTGTCAATTTGTCCAGTATCTTTAACCTGTGTCTGCCTCTGCCTCTCTTTCCATCAAACTTGCCTGCTGTTACAATATTCCCCAATGCTTCTTTCCATATATCATATAGAACTCTCATTTTAGTTAACAGAAAAACTCTATAACAACCAATCGTGAGTGAGTGTACGTGTCACAGTAGTTGAGTGTATGTGTCACAATAGTTGAGTATACGTGTCACAATAGATGAGTATACGTGTCACAATAGTTGAGTGTACATGTCACAGTAGTTGAGTGTACGTGTCACTAGTTGAGTGTACGTGGCACAGTAGTTGAGTGTACGTGTCACAATAGTAGAGTGTATGTGTCACAATAGTTGAGTGTATGTGTCACAGTAGTTGAGTGTACGTGTCACTAGTTGAGTGTACGTGGCACAGTAGTTGAGTGTACGTGTCACAATAGTAGAGTGTATGTGTCACAATAGTTGAGTGTATGTGTCACAGTAGTTGAGTGTACATGTCACTAGTTGAGTGTACGTGTCACAGTAGTTGAGTGTCACAGTAGTAGAGTGTATGTGTCACAGTAGTTGAGTGTACGTGTCACTAGTTGAGTATACGTGTCACAGTAGTTGAGTGTATGTGTCACA